TAAATAAGACAACCAGAACCCTTGCTAAGTGAAAGAGTGGGTTTGATACTACAGGTGAAAGTGCCTCTACCCAGCACAGGGTCTCTGTGAATAGAGAGGATTCTCTTCCTGAGAAATTAATTTGTAATCTAAACAAAGTAATTGGGAGCAGAGAAACTCATATCACCAAGGTGAGAGCACTGTGAGCACAGAGGTGATGGGAAGTGGTCATACCAAGCACTGAATAATTTCTTCAATAAGTATTTCACATCACTCCTTGATGAACTGTTACTTTATAGTGTCAAAAAAATATATAGAGACCGCAAAGAAAATTGTAAAAAAGCAGCTAGCACAAAGTGGCAAACCCTCCTATTCCACTGAAACATAAGTAAATATACAAAGGTGCAACACTAAAATTGATCTATGCGAACAAAACAAATATGTGAACTAATAACCAATATCATAAATAATAAATGAAGTCCAAAAGAAAAAAGTGCAATGGCCAGCAATAATGTGTGAATCAATGCTGATCAACGATGTGAAGTGACATCTATGAAGGGTACATCTATGACAATCCTCCACCACTATGCACTCACCAGAAGCAAGAAATAAACAGGCTCTGTGCAGAAATCCCTCCAAGAGATGTATCCTTTCCACTGCAGGAAATAGCTATATAGCCAAATGACATCCATTGCGACTGGGCTCTATATGGGCATTCCTTGAAATGGACCTCCACTGCACCGGTCGGCAAACTTTTGGACTTAATTTATTATTTATGATATTGGTTATTAGTTCACTTATTTTTTTTTTGTTCACATAGATCAATATTAGCGCTGAACTGTTCATGTTGAATAATATGAACTGACACGATTGATACGATGAACTGGCACTATTGACACATAGTGATGAACTGAATTTTTATTCACATTTCATTTGCATATTTTTATTATCACATTGCTCATTGATATATGCAGTTTGTTTTATGGGGATTAACATGTGATTTATGTAGAGATTGGTAGCATGGCACTTATTTTTAATCTAGTACTTTTAAGAAAAATAAAATGTTTCTTCCTTCTCTCCACTATAGGATGCTGGTTGCAACTGTTATTTTAATATTATTATTAGAGATGAGCGAATCGAACATGGCGAAGTGGAATTTGTTTCGAAGATCAGGAAAAATTCGATTCGCGCCGAATCCGAAAATTAGCAAACTTCGGATGCACGAATCAAATTTTCCCAAAAATGGCGGCGACATGTGTGGCGACGGAGCGGGGGGGATCTCTGGGAAGGCGCGCGGACAAGGCGCGCTGACCCATAATGCATTCATTCATGACATGTGATCGCATTAGCTAATCAGCAGCCAGCCAGCCAGCACTGTGTAATGGTGGAGCTATAAATTGCGGCCATCTTACAATTCTCCATTAGCCTCCGGTCATTCAAGAGAGACAGACCTGTCTGTATTAGGGACAGAGTTAGGGCCAGAGAGACTTTAGGGCCACAGAATCGTTACTTAGGGACACAGAATCGTTACTCAGGGACACAGAATTGTTACTCAGGGACACAGAATTGTTACTCAGGGACACAGATTCCTTACTCAGGGACAGACACAGAATTGTTACTCAGGGACACACAGGGAATTGTTACTGAGGGACACAGAATCGTTACTCAGGGACACAGAATTGTTACTCAGGGACACAGAAATCGTTACTCAGGGACACAGAATTGTTACTCAGGGACACAGAATTGTTACTGAGGGACACAGAATCGTTACTCAGGGACACAAACGTTACTCAGGGACACAGAATCGTTACTCAGGGACACAGAATCGTTACTCAGGGACACAGAATCGTTACTCAGGGACACAGAATTGTTACTCAGGGACACAGAATCGTTACTGAGGGACACAGAATTGTTACTCAGGGACACAGAATCGTTACTCAGGGACACAGAATTGTTACTCAGGGACACAGAATTGTTACTCAGGGACACAGAATCGTTACTGAGAGACACAGAATCGTTACTCAGGGACACAGAATCGTTACTCAGGGACACAGAATCGTTACTCAGGGACACAGAATTGTTACTCAGGGACACAGAATTGTTACTCAGGGACAGACACAGAATTGTTACTCAGGGACACAGAATTGTCGTTAGGGACACAGAATCTGTTACTCAGGGACACAGAATCATTACTCAGGGACACAGAATCGTTGAATTAAAGAGTATGTCAGACAACACGCAGAGGAGTGGCAGAGGAGGCAATGTTTCAGGAGCGAGCAGACGTGGCAGCAGAGGAAGGGGTCGAGGCAGCACTAGTCGCAGCCAGAGGCCAGTGCTCCCGGTGTCATCCAGCGGTCGTGTCTCCACCGACAACCCTGCTGTCATCGATTGGTTGGCTCGGTCGTCTTCCTCTTCCCAGGTCACCTCTGACACCTACAGCCAACGGTCTGTGGGTACGTCAGACACAACCGTTAGTTGGCATGGCCCGGGAGCAAGCCCACTGAAATCACGTGTCCTCTACCTGCCCCTGTCCTTTGGTGTTTCCCTCACCAAGCGAAGTATCGCATGCTGTGGGCTCAGCCCTACTGTACAGTGAGGAAGAGCTAACAGAGGGCGGTCAGGAACGGGGGGAGACATCCGCCTCTTCAGCAGCCAGGCGAAGAAGTAGTGGCGAGGAGAGTGGCTCGGTAGCCGGTCTAGAGACAGGTCTGTCTCTTGACCCACACGCAGCCGAGGGGGCTAGTAGTGAGGCGGAGACCCTAATTGATGATGATGAGGCTGATCGCACACTTGGCAGCCTCGTCGTCATCTGCCAGGCCCGTAATCTGCCATGGGCCCCCGTACCGACTCCTCATGCTGCTGCTGCCAGGCCCGTAATCTGTCATGGGCCCCTGTACCCCCGCCTCCTCATGCTGCTGCCAGGTCCAGAGTGTGTCATGGGTCCCTGTACGGCCTCCCATTGCTGCTGCCAGGCCCGTAATCTGCCATGGGGCCCCGTACCGACTCTTCATGCTGCTGCCAGGCCCGTAATCTGTCATGGGCCCCTGTACCGCCTCCTCATGCTGCTGCCAGGTCCAGAGTGTGTCATGGGTCCCTGTACGGCCTCCCATTGCTGCTGTCTCCATTGCCACACTCTGCCATGTGCCACTTTCAGGTCTCCTCACACTGCTGGTGGGCTTCCATTTTGTCATAGGGTGCTGTATGGCCTCCCATTGCTGCTGCCAGGCCCGTAATCTGCCATGGGCCCCGTACCGACTCCTCATGCTGCTGCCAGGCCCATAATCTGTCATGGGCCCCTGTACCGCCTCCTCATGCTGCTGCCAGGTCCAGAGTGTGTCATGGGTCCCTGTACGGCCTCCCATTGCTGCTGTCTCCATCGCCACACTCTGCCATGTGCCACTTTCAGGTCTCCTCACACTGCTGGTGGGGTTCCATTTTGTCATAGGGTGCTGGCAGATTACGGGCCTCTCATTGCTGCTGCCAGGCCCGTAAATCTGCCATGGGCCCCCATGTACCGACTCCTCATGCTGCTGCCAGGCCCGTAATCTGTCATGGGCCCCTGTACCGCCTCCTCATGCTGCTGCCAGGTCCAGAGTGTGTCATGGGTCCCTGTACGGCCTCCCATTGCTGCTGTCTCCATCGCCACACTCTGCCATGTGCCAGTTTCAGGTCTCCTCACACTGCTGGTGGGTTCCATTTTGTCATAGGGTGCTGGCAGATTACGGGCCTCCCATTGCTGCTGCCAGGCCCGTAATCTGCCATGGGCCCCCGTACCGACTCCTCATGCTGCTGCCAGGCCCGTAATCTGTCATGGCCCCTGTACCGCCTCCTCATGCTGCTGCCAGGTCCAGAGTGTGTGTCATGGGTCCCTGTACGGCCTCCCATTGCTGCTGTCTCCATCGCCACACTCTGCCATGTGCCACTTTCAGGTCTCCTCACACTGCTGGTGGGTTCCATTTTGTCATAGGGTGCTGGCAGATTACGGCCTCTCATTGCTGCTGCCAGGCCCGTAATCTGCCATGGGCCCCCGTACTGACTCCTTATGCTGCTGCCAGGCCCGTAATCTGTCATGGGCCCCTGTACCCCCGCCTCCTCATGCTGCTGCCAGGTCCAGAGTGTGTCATGGGTCCCTGTACGGCCTCCCATTGCTGCTGTCTCCATCGCCACACTCTGCCATGTGCCACTTTCAGGTCTCCTCACACTGCTGGTGGGTTCCATTTTGTCATAGGGTGCTGGCAGATTACGGGCCTCCCATTGCTGCTGCCAGGCCCGTAATCTGCCATGGGCCCCCGTACCGACTCCTCATGCTGCTGCCAGGCCCGTAATCTGTCATGGGCCCCTGTACCGCCTCCTCATGCTGCTGCCAGGTCCAGAGTGTGTCATGGGTCCCTGTACGGCCTCCCATTGCTGCTGTCTCCATCGCCACACTCTGCCATGTGCCAGTTTCAGGTCTCCTCACACTGCTGGTGGGTTCCATTTTGTCATAGGGATGCTGGCAGATTACGGGCCTCCCATTGCTGCTGCCAGGCCCGTAATCTGCCATGGCCCCCGTACCGACTCCTCATGCTGCTGCCAGGCCCGTAATCTGTCATGGGCCCCTGTACCGCCTCCCATGCTGCTGCTCCAGGTCCAGAGTGTGTCATGGGTCCACTCTACGGCCCTCCATTGCTGCTGCCAGGCCCGTAATCTGCCATGGTGCCCCCGTACCAACTCCTCATGCTGCTGCCAGGCCCGTAATCTGTCATGGGCCCCTGTACCGCCTCCTCATGCTGCTGCCAGGTCCAGAGTGTGTCATGGGTCCCTGTACGGCCTCCCATTGCTGCTGTCTCCATCACCACACTCTGCCATGTGCCACTTTCAGGTCTCCTCACACTGCTGGTGGTGTTCCATTTTGTCATAGGGTGCTGGCAGATTACGGGCCTCCCATTGCTGCTGCCAGGCCCGTAATCTGCCATGGGCCCCTGTACCGACTCCCATATGCTATGGCCAGGCCCGTAATCTGTCATGGGCTACCCGCCTCCTCATGCTGCTGCCAGGTCCAGAGTGTGTCATGGGTCCCTGTACGGCCTCCCATTGCTGCTGTCTCCATCGCCACACTCTGCCATGTGCCACTTTCAGGTCTCCTCACACTGCTGGTGGGTTCCATTTTGTCATAGGTGCTGGCAGATTACGGCCTCCCATGCTGCTGCCAGGCCCGTAATCTGCCATGGCCCCCGTACCGCCTCCTCATGCTGCTGCCAGGTCCAGAGTGTCTCATGGGCCCCTGTACCGCCTCCTCATTGCTGCTGTCTCCATCGCCAGCCGTTACCAGACTCTGCCATGTGCCCATGGGTCTCCTCACACTGCTGTGTGGGTTCCATTTGCATAGGGTGCTGGGCAGATACTCTGCCATGCTGCCACCAGGGTCCCCTACCACTCCTCATCTGCTTTCTAAGCCAGGCCCGATACATGGCCATGCCCTCTTCAGGTCTCCCACATTCCTGCCTGGCTCCTCCAAATTTTATGCATAGGGTGCTGGCAGATTACGGGCCTCCCATTTAGCTGCTGCCAGGCCCGTAATCTGTCCATGGGCCCCGTAAACCGCCTCCTCATACTGCTGCTTGCCAGGTCCAGAGTGTCTCATGGGTCCCTGTACGGCCTACCCCATTGCTGCTGTCTCCATCGCCACAATCACTCTGCCATGTGCCACTCATCTTTCAAGGTCTCCTCACACTGCTGGTCATGGTTCCATTTTTTTGTCAAAGGCCTCCCATGCTGGCAGATTACGGCCCCCGCCTCCGTCATTATCATGCTGCTGCCAGACCCGTAATCTGTCAGGGCCCCTGTACCGAGCCTCCTCATGCTGCTGCTCACTAGGTCCAGAGTGTGTCATCATGAGGGGTCCCTGTTTAACGGCCTCCCAATGCTGCTGTCTCCATCCCCCACAACTCTGCCATGTGCCACTTTCAGGTCTCATGCCTCACACTGCTGGGTGGGTTCCATTTTTTTGTCATAGGGGGCTGGCAGATTACGGGCCTCCCATTGCTGCTGCCAGGGGCCCCTAATTCTGGTCCAAGGCCCCCGATACCGACTCCTCAGGCGCTGCTGCCATGGCCGTAATCTATCAAAGCCGGGCCCCTCATCAGCTGCTGCCCCAGGTCCACAGGTGTCTTGACATGGGTCCCTGTACGGCCTCCCATTGCACTGCTGGTCTCCATTGGCCACACTCTGCCATGATGCCCACTTTCAGGTCATCCGCCACACTGGCTGGTAGGTTTCCATTTTTGTCATAGGGTTGTGCTTGGCAGATTACGGGGCCTCCCATAGGGTGCTGCCAGGCCCGTAAATCTGCCAT